GACGAGCCGCAACTTCGTCAGGATGCTTCAACACAAGGTAGGAGGAGGAGAAGAAGTACTAGAAGAGCAGCAGGAGCAAGCAGCAGGAGGAGGAGGAGAACACCTCCTCGTCGTTGCAGCAGCTCCTCCACCACCTGCAGGACGGCGTGGTCTTGCTTTTTCTTCTTCTTCATCATGATAATCTTCATGAGGGGGGGGGGGGGGAGGGTGATCATGATGATGATGATGGTGGTGGTGTAGGTGGTGGTGGATGAGAAGATGATGAGGAGGAGGAGGAGGAGGAGGAGGAGGAGGATAACGACGACGATGATGTTTAGAAAGGGGAGGGGGAGGAAGGGGGAGGAGCGAGAGAGAAGCAGATGAAATTGATCACGTCATCATCGTGATGTCAAAGGAAGGCAACGATTTCAAGATCAAGTCTCAATCACCTCATACGCATCGAATGCCTCCCACTTGCTCGGCTGTTGATGATGTCAACAAGAAACACGATAAACAGAATGCAGCTGATGTGATGAAAGGAGGAATCTAAGAGACCTCGGGCAAGTTCATCGCCAGAAGGACGTCTCGTAGCCTATCCGCATCCAACCGCTGTCGGCAACTCTGAGGGAAATCGACCAGCAAGTAGAGCAGACCTGATGAGTGATAGTGACGACGAACACCTGCGAGAAGCTTGCTGGACTCTCTCCGTTCTCCTTCATCTCGTAACTTGGCTCCCTTGTCGCAAGCTTGACAGTTGAGTTGAAGTCGTAGGACAAGTTCCCCTGTCGCTCTCCTCTCATCGCAAGCACAACAAGCTACAAGTCGGTCGACCTGGACTACCCGCAGGGTCAGCAAGACTGAGCTGGGGATGGTAACAGCGACATCGCCGACTGAGTAGTCGAGAGAGAGAAAGTGAGGAGCCTCCTCCCCGTCTGCGTACCTGCCTCGTTTCTTGTGAGCCGCTCACAGGTTAAGGAGTGGAAGGAGGCGCTAGGAGGAAGGAAGAGTAGGAGCAGGAGCAGGAGCAAGAGCAGCAGGAGAAAAAGAGTTTTCAGAGGAGGACGAAGAAAGGCGAGGACGAAAGGCGAGGACGAAAGGCGAGGACAAGGAAAAGAATGAGAACAATGGTCAGGAATCATAGAAAGGAGGGAGGAGAGGAGGACCTGTGCAGAACTCTAGATTCTTCGAAGGGTCGGTGATTATCCGACGATCTCAAAGTTATCTGTAAGGCAGCAATCGAGTCAGAAACCTTTGAGGTCTTGAGGACGTCATGTAGTGGACCTGCTCCTGACTAAGGAAGGTGACGTTCGGACTCCGGCCGGGCCAATCGTACTCGTTGACTGTCAGATCGAAGGAGCAGGAGCAGGAGCAGGAGCAGGAGCAGGAGCAGGAGTAGGAGGGTGAAGAGGAGGAAGGTTGAGGCTACCTCGAATTCGACTTGAAGGATTGTATTCGGGATTTCAGGGGAGAGGAGCTTGTAACCCATAGCTATGCGGAGGACCAGAAGGACTGGAACTTTGTCGAGAACCTTTCCTAGGATTGAGCAAGAGGAGGAGGAGAAGGGTTTGGGAGAGGGGGGGAATAGCAGCAAAAGCAGGAGAGTAATGACAAAGAAGCATTGACAACGGGCGAACTTACTCGAATGGTTGAGTTTGGAAGAGGGTGAGAGATGAGAGCTTGTTCAAATCGATGAGCGTTTGACTCCGCGTGATAAATCTGACGGGCCATGACAAGCTGATGTCACTTTTTGCTTCAACTGCTCCTACCTGCTCAGCTATGGTCTTGCGATCCTCGTGCCTCTGTGGGTTCCTGCCGGGAAAATCTCCTGCATCTCCCCTCTGCAACCCTGCGGTGAACTGGCATCAGCTACTCTTACATCCTGCTGTCTGCAGCCTCACCGTATCTGGCCAGCATTTGATCGATCTGGAGACGTTTGAAGTCCTTGTAGTTGTCTTCGAACCGTCGAGCCCTCGTGTTGAGTCTGGGAACCTTGAGTGCACACTAGTGATATAGAGAAATAAAGTAGGATGAAAGGTTCAGGGCTCCTTTGCATCATCCAACATCCTTGACATGTCTCGTCCCTCTCCCCACTTCTCACCTCGATCTCTTGCCAAGACCAGCTCCCCTTCCCCATCTGAACGGGCCTCCTCACTCGGTCCTTCCACCACACCAACATCACCATGGCAGTCCTCTGCTAACCTCACAACCACAAGAGCGCGAGAGTCTCACCACAATAACCTCCTGCCGGTCCGCAAGTGCCTGCTGCTCCAACAGTCCCTTCAGCACGGTGAACCCTATGCTCACAGCTGTCGATCTTCCTCGCTCGCTGCTCAGAAGCACTGACACACGCTTCTCCCCCAGCTGTCGGGCATGTCAGACACAATCAGCAAGTTACATACGTTGTACCTCCGCCATTCGTATATGAGCAACGATCTGACACCTCCCGTCGACCGTGGGGATAAGACCGCCGTCCAGCAAAAGATCGCAAACGTCAACCTCCCCCCCCTCACCTCTGGATCTCGTGCGATCCGCACAGAGTCAGGCCATGTCGCTCAAAGCAGAAGCGCTCACAACATGGACGATGGCTCCTGGGCGAGTGAGGATCGGAACGATAAGATTCCGTTCACAAGGATCGTCAGCTCCGAGCTCTCCGGGATGGCCTGCCCTCTCCGGAACGAGATCAAAATCTCCTGCATGTGACCGACACCATCTTCGACTAGCTGAAAGCTCCGTCAGCCTGCCTTCCTGCCTCGTCCCACTCTACCTGGTCCCCGTCTTGAGGTTCGTCGATGCTCGACCCGAGATGCTGGAACCCGCGCGGCCTGTCCAGGATCTCCCAGCCTTCAGCGGTGCTGAACAGGGAGGACACGCCATCGTCTCCTCCGCTGACGTACTTGTGCAGAACTTGCGACATTTCGTGCAGCCAGCAGATGCTAGAAGGGCTGAACGGACGCTCGGGATGGCATGGATTTCACTGGCATTGCCAAGGAGAAGCGGGAGGGAGGGGAAGGAGACGATACAGCCAAGGTCGCAGTCCTCTGCCAAATCAAGGAGGTGGAAGACTTGCAGGTTCGAAGCAATCTCGCTCCGATCAAGGAACTGAGAGGCATCGGGGTCATCGACCATTATGGCATACCCCTCGTTCGACTTGAGAGCTCGCTGCACCAATGATGGCAGCAGGTCAGCAGCACGACAGGAGCACTCATGTCGTTCTTTCACATCCTGCAAACTGTGCGGGAGGTACAGGAGGACGAAAACCAGGAGGATGAGGAAGACCCTTCCTTGGCACTGCATGTGACAGGGTTGTGGCAGCAAGGTCGCCGGGTCTTGTAGCGTGCTGGAGCGCGAGAACCGAAGTCACTGCTCTTGACGATGGGGTGAAGGACAGGAAGCATGAGGATGATGGAGGCGCCGACTATGGCAGGAGGCGCCGACGAGTAGCAGGGAGGGGAGCAGGGGCGGGGTTCTTGCCATGTCCTGTCGGGGCGACACTCGACAAAGTCCGCCTCCTCAAAATATAAAAGACAGCAATGATTTACGAGGGAAAAGTCCTAATGTAGTTTCATTGGATCAGGGCAGCAGAAATGGTGGGATTTTTTAGCAATCGAACGGGGTGGGTATTTCATATGTTGAATTTCAGGGGTGGGTAGTTGAAACTGGACCGGTGTCTAGAAGATAGGACATGAGATTCATGGGGTGTATTTAACACTAAAAAGGAGGGGTACTGATGTATAAAAACAGGATTCAAGAGTGGGGTGGGTAAGCAAATACACAAGGGGTGCAACTGAATTTGTGGGGGTAGGTAGTTTTGGTCAGAGGGAATAAACCTCGCTGAAAACATGGGGTGGGTGTAGGGCCACATGGTCATGGGGGTAGGGCACTTTACTAGGAGAAATCATTATGTATTATGTATCACAAGGGTGGTGGGTACATGGGGATGGGGATGGGGTGGGGTAGAGAGGAGAGCGGATCTTTCAATGGGAGGATCAATACTGAGAGGAGCGAAACTTAGTCGGTGGGGATGCTGATGGGACGTATGATGTGAAGATGCTGAAAGATGCGATGATGTTCTAGCTCAAAGATGCTGTTTGTGAGAGTTTGCCCTCCTTTCTCTCTCAGTTGAGACTCGTACTAGTTCGATTCCACATTCGTACGTCTGTTGCAGGTAGTTGTAGTAGGGCATGGAGCGAGTCCTTTACGGACGATGGGAGAGGACATAGGCTCTCTCTCTGCTTCATGCCCATGAGTTGTCTCGCTGTGATCATAGTTTCGACAATCCGCTGCGAGGAAGAGATTGAGAAGGAGAAGTGAGAGCCGTGTACACCTGTTTTGAGCTCGTTTGAACCATCCAATGCTACAGATTGGAGATGTCTTAGATTAGGTTGTGAAGGTTTATAGCGTGGACTAGGTTGCATGTGCTGTCACCTAGAGTTGTTCTCCACCCACAGGCACTCACACACTGAATGATTCCACCGCCATTGCATTGACTCTCCCACTCAAGGCAACATGGGCCTCCGAGCGATGATCCTGCGGATATCTTTGAGTGAGTGACGGATGGCCTCCTCTTGTTCGGCTCTTGACTTGTCTTGACAGCGTTATCTGCCATGAGCTCCATCGACATGTGCTGCGGTTTCACTGGCTTCAGTCACTGCCCTTTTGCCCTGCGGTCGGGCGGGCGGTAATGGCCAATCCGCACATGTTAGGACGTCTGACTCTCATGCAGCAGCCTTGTTTCAAGCTACACTCACAAGAAGACTCAGCTGTCTGCTGCAAGAAGACTCAACACTTTGAGCTCGGGAGTCCTCAGCCTCAAGGTGAGCTTCGGTCAGTACCGTCAGCCGGTTGAGGATCCAGCAGGCAGAAGAAAAGTTCGGAAGAGGTCTTAAAGCGAAGATGAAAGGTGAGATCTGCTGTGGACTAGCATGTCCGTATGACTTCATGTTGCAGAAGGACACTCTTTGGTCTACGACTACGTTGATGGGAGCAGCCCGGTTATCGTCTACCTGCCTGCGTTCAATCAGTCCAGGTAGTGACGCCAGTAATTTCAGAAGCACCTGATTCACCACTTGTCGCAGAATCACCTCAAAGTCTTCTGCTCTCCAGACCTGGGCGAAACGCAATGGGAAGGCTTTCTTCTCGGCAGACTACTATGGATGCGGGAAGAGGTGCTGTCCTCCTACATCCCTTGATGGCCTTGGCTACGTTCTTGACGTTTCCTGTACGTGTAGTGATGGGAAATTTGAAGACGGGACCCTGACGATGTGGACCAACGACATGATCACTCTGATCGAAGATGTACATGATGCAACTCTCCTGTTCTTTGCTGATCGTAGTCCAAGGTTATCAAAAAGCCTGTGCTCCTTGTTGGCTCTGGTAGCCTCCTCGTGCTCTGGCTCCTTGCGTTCTTGACCAGTTGCTGACAGGTGTGGGTGGTTGGGTTGGCCTGCATCTTGCTATGAAGAGAAAAAACCTTGTGCCTGCATTCCCGCTCGCCCGATTCGCAACTGACGTGTCAAACAAGGTGAGGGGCTTGGTTGGGATTGCAGCGGATCCAGACTTCACCACAGGTTTGTTTGTAGTGAGCTAGTGGCGCTTTGTTGTGGCATGACATGCATTGCAAAGATGTTGTCTTGCCGGAGCTAGATGACACCGTAAAGGAGAAGATTCAGGTTGGACGTGCGCGCGACGTTGTTAAAAGGGTTCTGAACATCTCGAACAGAAAGATGGATCTGCCATGATCTCATGGGGCGTGTCTGAGGTTGACTCTCGTGACTTCATTTCACAAGTGAACAAGTTTGCTATCAGTATACCATCTCCAAGAAGTTCATCGATGATTCAAAGAACATGCTTCTCCTCCCTGGTACCGCAGATGGTAGAGATGGACAAGGTGTAGAGCTGAGATGGTTGCAGGTGGGTCGGAGAGTCTTGACATCAAGTGTCCGGTTCGGCTCATTCAGGTACAGACGCGCTATCCCCCTCACGACATCCTTGACTCGTCCTGCAGGGTTTGAGCGACGAGGAGATCCCTCCCGACAGGTTGCTGAGAGGGGGAAAGGGTCCAAGCCGCCTGACAGTCTTGGATGCCTTCCAGGGCGTTGAGAATATCCGAGGCCATCAAGTCTGACGATGTGGTACGCGCTGCCTCCTGTCCCCTGAAACTTTCTTGACGCCTGCGGCTGCTGTGACGTCTTGACGACACTCAGGTGGTGTACTACGTCAAGGATGGCGACCACTTCCTGGATCAGGATGAAGACATCAGCAGGATGATCGACCAGGTTGGGCGCCAGGTGGCCGAGAGACTGTAGCTGATGTCGGCCGGCAGGTGCAAGAGATGTGCTCGAAGTACTTCGAGTTCGACCTCACCTCCCCCGGGAGCGGCTGATCGGGCCAGCAATAGCCCTGAGACTGCTTGCTCGTCACTTGCGTGTGTGAAGCTGTAAACTGGTCTCATATCAACTCGAAGACGTCTCCTCCTCCTTTACGGTTTCAGCTCGCAGCCTGTAGTGCCCGCTGCTGTCTCTGTAGAGAGCACTCTGCATCCAACGATCAGCCTGCCTATGGCAACCTTGGAGTTCACCTGCAGCGTCTGCTGATCGACGTAGCCGTCCCGAGACATTATCGCAGGAGGGATTGCAGCGACGCTGCATGGACGTCAAGGAGGCAGAGGCAGCAGAAAGGGACGGACCCGAGAAGGTGGATTTCCATGACTAGCACAGGAGGAGGGTCTTTCCTCGACAGGAACTGAGAGAGTATCTTCCTCCCTTGCCGGGTCAGAGGCTTCGGCTCCTTCCTCTGCCCCACCGCGTGAGCAGCAGCGTGAGAGGGTTGGCAGCTGATGTTACCTTGGAGGTATAGTGGGTGTGAGGAGGGAGGACTAGAACTCCTCTCGACCCCTCCCTCATCGTCACGATGGCCTCGTTCAACCCTGGGATCACTGAAGCATCGCCCACCTGCCAGTCGTTAGCTCCCCGTGCCCACCCACTCCTCCTCCTCCTCCTCCTCCTCCTCCTCCTCCTCCTCCTCCTCCTCCCTCCCTCCCTCCCTCCCTCCCTCCCTCCCTCCCTCCCTCCCTCCCTCCTCCTTCCTTCCTTCTTCCTCCCTTCCTGCGCCTCCTTCTCCACCTCGAACACGAAGGGTCGCGGCGCGTCCTCGTCTTCTTTCATGTCGAGGACAGACGCGGAGAGGAGGGGCCCGTCTCGACCGTAGAGCCTGGAGCTGTAGTGGAGGACAGCAGCCGACCCTTCCCTAGGAACGATGCCCTCCCCAGCCTGCAGTTCCCTGCATGTTCCTCGTCACTCCATGCTCACCGCAACCCGCTCAGCTTACTGGTATGTCCACGTCAGCTGCAGCGGCTCGCAGTCTATGCTCTCTCCTGCTCCTTCTACCAGAATCCCATCCCTCACCAACTTGTTGTATGTCGAGCCTGCCAGCACTAGCACATCAGCCACGTCGGAGATCCGATCCTCGCGCCTCTTCTACCTTCCTTCAGGATCCACCTCCCTGTGATAGGATTCTGAACCCTCGTCCTCCTCTCCCCCGCCGCCTTGTCCTCGTCCTCGTCCTCTCGGTCCTCGGCTCCTAGAAGCGCATCGGACACCTTCCCAAGAGCCGTCGATACGTCGAACATGTCCGTGGATGCGACTGCAGCCATGAAGGCGCATCCTACGACGATGAACGTGATGCCTTCCACGCTTGTTTCCAGCATGCGCAGAGAGGAGGAGCAAGGAGGGCGAGGAGTGCGAGGCCTTGAGTGTTGCAGTGCCTCTGGCCTGTGTCTCGCAAGGCTCGAAACAAGAGGAGAAGGGGACGCGATGGGGCGAGCAGTTGGAGAGAAGCATGCGAGGTGGGGGAGGGGGCGATAGTGGACATGGCAAGGGAAATCCGGAGCGCTTGGAATGTACGGGAGGAGGACTAGATCAATGCAGGGAAGGGGAGAGGAGAGATGGGGAGCGAGGAAGGGAGGGGGGAGGGAGGAGGGGTTGCAGGCGTTGGAAGCGTCGGCAGCGGAACTGGGAGGAGGAGGAGGGGAGGGGCCGGGGGGAGGGAAATATTTTCAGGCAAAAGGTGTGTGAAAATGGCGAGGAGGATTCAGGTCGGAGTGGAGGGGGGCGAGACGGGGAGGAGGGTGGTGCATGCGGAGAAGCTTCTCGGCAGAAAGGATGGGAGGAGGAGGAGGAGGAGGAGGAGGAATGAAGAGGAGGAGGAGGGGAGGAAGAAGAGGAGGAGGGGAGGATATCTACGTGAAACGCAATGGAGGAGGAAGTAGAAATTCGCCAAGCAGCGAGATCGAAACTCTAAATTTACTTGACAAGTCATCGAGTTACATACAGTTACGCTGCTACAAGAGTCATATCTTGATATGTGCTAAAGGCGAGCTGATTGCCCTCAAACGTCTAGTAGAATGTCCCCTCGTAGGACTCGAAGCCAGGGTTGTCCATGGTGCCGTCCGGCGACCTGATGCAGACTGTCACCGTCGCTGCTACAAGCGGCACAACAGGAGCAGAGAGCGGGTTTGTCGCTTCTAGAGTTGACAGACTCGCACAAAGTAGATGGAAATCGCACATGAACCCCAAGGGAGCGTGAAAGCACAGAGCAGCAGCAGCAGCAGCAGCAGCAGCAGCAGCAGCAGCAGCAGCAGCAGCAATGACAAGGGAGCATGGGGATAACGCTACCAGTTGCCGTTGAGGACGGATGGGCTCTCGATCGCCGGGTCCATGGTCACGCAGCCGTTGCCATCCAGTGCGTTCATGGGCAAAACGCGGATCCTGGAACAGTTAGGTGAGAAAAAGCACAGAATAAGCACAAGAGAGCAAGCGAAGAAACATGAGGAAGGAGAGGAGGAAGGAGAGGAGGAAGGAGGAAGGAGGAAGGAGGAAGGAGAGAGTCCAAGAAATGCGAGGATGGAATCACGGGGTGGTGAGTAGGAACCTGCTGATGGCGCAGGTGAACAACTTGGTTGTGTCTGCAAGTCAAAGTGAGATGCCATGAATGTTCGAAACTGGATAGATGACATAAAGAGCTGATATGGAAATTTCTCAATGGCACCGTCTCGCATAGACATGTCTTTCTGACCTCTAGATCCATCGCTGCGCACACTTTCTACATTTTCCCGCGCATCAACACACTTGCTGGGTATGAGTAGATTCATGCTAACAACTGTGCAGGGCAACAACTTGGCGACACTTTCAGAACAAAGCGACATGGCATCGACACTAGAGTATGATAGTCTTCGACAGCGCTTTTAGAGCTGCTCTCCTGATCTAACGATGCTTCTAGAAAGATTTTCACTCCAACGGTTCAAGTCCCTACATACAAGATCGACACCTCCCACCATACCAGAGTCATTACTGTTCCATCCTCGTTCTTTCATACCCACTTCAAAACATATCTTCCTCGTCAATATAATGTATTCTTGTCTCAGCCGACCGTACCCGCTCATAACGTACGTGGCATCTACCGGCTGTTTTCTTTATTTTTGCTCGTCTTTGATTGTGAGGATTGTCTTCATCATTCTCACTTACATTCCCCTCACTCTCTTCGCTCAATCACCATCACCATCACCATCAACATCACCATCACCATCACCATCGCCATCGCCATCGCCTACCAGCACATGCTTCTCCCTCCATTACCCCATCACATCCACAGTTATCTTACCTTGCATCTTTTGCCTCTTCACCCCTGACCGTTACACAAGCCGTTTTGTTTCCCACGAGTTGCGGGCCCGGGCCCGGCCTGACTCCGCTGCGGCCGGCCACTCGGAATCGGACTCAGTGACTGATGCATGGCAGTGCCGCAGTGCCCGCGGCCAGGCCGGCGGCCCGGGATTACGGGCCCGGCCCTCGATGCCCGAGCAGCCTCCCCGGGGACTGAATGCGGCATGCCCACAAGAACCAATCATGAATGGCAAAGGACGGTTTCAGCCTGGTTCGGACCGTCCGGACTCAGTATTGCTACCGTGACCGCCGACGGTACACTGGGCCGTGCGCCTCGGATTGGCTCGATGATGATCAGTGTGACGAATGTGAAGAAGCTCTCGGTTTGTTATTCAAAGAACTGAATCATCAGTCACTAAAGCACTTTCAAGCACTGAGAACAGCTCAGTAGGGTCCCTGACAGAGGCCCGAGGGAGCCAGGCCGAGTCGGAGTGAGAAACCTTCAAGGTACGGTTTCACTGTTATTCCTTGCCCAGAGAAGCACGAGTCTGTTGGACAGTTAGAATGACGTCGTGCTCGTAATGCTTGAGAGGAGCTAAGACCAGCCCTTCAGGGAACTAGAACAGGAAAGTGAGATGAAGCTTGACAAATCAGCAGAGGCAATGCACCTTGAAGTTCTTGACAAAGATTTTGTCGCCAACTTCCATCCATCCCACGTCAACTTCGATTTTCTAAAGGGAGAATCAGTCAACCTGCAAGAGAAACGAGGTACAAGACAAAGAGAGAAAGATTTCAGGAAAGATGCCTTACATCCGGGACATCGTATGACGTACAGATGACCTTGACCTGTATAAATACACAAATTAAGTTTGACACAGCGAAACTAGCGAAACCAAGACACAAGATATGAAAAGAGTGACCCATCGCAAGGAGCTTGCGATCAGACAGCGCCAGTGGGCTAGGGGATGGCGGAAGCAACAAAGCAAAGGGCAATCTAGAAACCGAACAACACTCGCTCACACAGTGAGACGAAACGCGCCCGCTTTGTTTCAGGCATAGCAACAAAATGCCAGCACGTGAAAGAATTCCAAAGGAGGAAGGAAAGAAGGCCGGACAAGCGAAACACGGAAAGCAATCAGTACCTTTGTCATACTTATGTTCAACAAACCTCCTCTTCGCAAACCTGGCAAAAAGGATCAGACCACCAAGCCACCATCGCGACATGAAAACCTGGAGATCTCTCCGTGTTGACTGATACGAAGGGAATATCCAAAAGAACTTGCTGCCCCTTCTCCGGCTCAAATTTCAAAAGTAGTACATCGTAGATGACGTCTTCGAAAACCGTATCGTACTGCAACATGAAAGTGAATGAACAGGCAAAGATGAGATGTGCCGGATCACATGGAGATTCCGCATAAAGCACTTCATGGGCTCAAGACCCTCAATTCGAACATCAAAAAGTTTGCACCCCGCATTCAATTTGTCTGTATGCTGCATCAGCGTGGAACAGTAGTGAAGTCATGAGGATACTTGGCCAGGGCTGCAAACATTTCTCATCGATCTTCACGTAGGTCCTTTTGCCCTCACAATCCTAGCGACAGTGAAGAAGGATTCATCAAAGGAAGTCTTGCATTCAAAGAGCTATGAATACCTGAATGACTCCGGGTACAAAGCCATCTCGTCGCATTTGCAACAGATCTTTCTTTTCAAAGGAACGGAGTTGACCAAGGAGCACCCCATGCTCTCTTTTTTTAGACGGGTCTTTCGTATGCAGCCAGGTGACTCTGTGGCGCTTTGTCATGTTGTCCGGCTTGGTCGTGCGTAGAGGCACAGCCAGCAGCTGTTTGCTGACAAAGTTGGGCATTGCTGAGACATGTAGGGCATGTCCACGTACAGCCATGTGCTCAGCAGATTTGACGGGGCTCCGACATGTCAACGATGAGATTAACAACTTAGGAGAAGCTGTCTCCAAGGCAACCCCAACTCGAGACAAATGCTTCACTGCGGATCCAAAGATATGATGAAAGTGAAGCATCGTTGATTTCTGGAAGCTCCTTCTTCCCGATGAGGTCTTGAGATGGATTCAAGAAAGTAGACAGCTAGAAACTACGCAGAAACGAGTATGAGAACAGGATGGAAAGACGCGATGCCCGCACCAAATTCAGCGACGCAACAAGTCGAGAACGATGAACGCCGCTCAAGGATATCAAGGAAGGGAGAAGGAGCGAGATGGAGGCGAAGAGGATCGAGGTTCAGAAGCAAGTGCGCGAGAGAATCTCAAGGAGGGGAGGTGCAGGTAAGCTGCTTCTTCACCAGCTCCCCCGTCCCCCGACCACCAAGACGCAGCGCATCACCGAGGCGCGTGGATTCAAGTTGACTAAAACTCCAGAATTTAACCTTCGCAACAGCTTTGTAACCGTTGAAGCGCTGGCGGCCCCGCACCTCAGTGACGCCGAGGCGGCAGTGAGTGCCACCGATTAATGCGGCGGGCCCACCCATCACTGACCCGCCGAACTGAGCCTGTCTCCCTTCACTGCTGGTCTTCTATCGAGCTCACATGGGCTATCTCGCCGCCGTGGCACGGTGTTAGAGGGTTTATAATGTCTTAACTCAGTACGGATCTCCCCCCGAGTCCACACTGTAATGCGCCGCCATGATGACAGTGAGTCCCCCGGGGCCCGGGGGGCCCAGGCCGCCGTCACGGGTTGGGAGTCAGCCTGACACGGTGTCTAGTACGGTACTGAGTGACTAGTGACCAGGCTCCCCTCACTTAGTCACTGCGGGGTTGGGCCCTCAGATCTGCTCTCTTCTGTCTGCAGCCACTCTTTTGTGGCGTTGATAGCATCAACCATGTCCTTGCAGACTTCCGCTGACGACAGAGCGTACTCGTTCCCGCAGACTTCCATCGTGAGCGCATCCCTTGGAGAGGCTCTCACCTGTGCTGACTTGAGCCTGAAACGAGCCTTGGTCCCTCCGTACTCCTTCCTCACTTCCAGCATGCCCCGGTGGAGGACCAGGAAGCCTTTCTTACTTCCTCCGAAGATGGAGGAGGACTGGTAGAGAAGGGTAACAACCTTCTCCTTCTTGTAGAAGACGTTGGGGGGCTCCTCCTGCCCTCGCTCTTTCCTCTCGAACTCTTCAAGGATCTCCTGCATCAGCCTGTCCTTGGTGAAGTTCAGGTACTCCTCATACTCCGTCACTCCGTTGCCGTCAGCATCGAGCGCCTTCTCGATGGCCACGAGGACGTTGTCTTGAAGGCTCGGGTACGCCTTCTTGAGATGCTCTCTCAGCTCTGAGTTGGGAACAGACTCTGTGAAGCCGCAGCTGTACCAGAACTCCAGAGCTCCTCCTTTGACGCACACTTCTTCGTTCTCTGCTTGCTTGCATGCTTGGTCCCATCCTTCCAGAAGTTCTGCTGCTGTCGTGAACCTGTCTTCCTTGTCCTTCGCCAAGCATCTCACTATGCAGCTCTTGACGCTCCTCGGCACGTTGTCGAGGGGGAGAGGATCGCAGTCAATGACGGAGATCTTGTACTTGCTCAGGATGTGGTCCGATCGCAGTCCTGACGTCGTTGCCTCAACCCCGTCGATCGGGAAGGGCAGCCTGCTGGCGATGGCCTCATACAGGATCACGCCGATGGCGAACACGTCTGAGGATGCGGAGGGAGGGAGGCCCTGGAGCTGCTCGGGGCTGGCGTACGCGGGAGTACCAACGAGCATCCCCACCATAGTCGTGACGGCGCTGGTGGAGCTCTTGGAGAGGCCGAAGTCGACGATGATGACGTCGCCGTTGGACTTTCTCATGAGGTTAGAGGGCTTGAGGTCGCGGTGGAGGATCGCGAGGCTGTGAACGTGCTTCATGCCCTCCATCACTTGCCGCATGTCGCTACCTGCTGCCTTCCAGGGCAGGGGCCCGTCGGCCTGCAGGTACTCGTCGTACCCCTGGCCTACTATCAAGGACATGCCAATAGCCACGTACCCCTGATGTTCTCCGACACCGATGTACGACACAACGTTCTTGTGCTCGATCTTGGACAAGTTCTTCGCTTCCTCCTTGCTCCGGTCCACTGTGCCGTTGGGTAGGCAGATCTTGACAGCAATGATCTTGGATGCATCTTCTGTGCAGACGGCCTTGTAAACCTTTCCCATGCTCCCCTTGGCCAGGCAGTTTAGTTTTTCAAGCTGATAGGTGACGCCATTGTCAAGTAAGACGTCATTCTTGTTGTCTTGGAGGTGCATCTTGAACAGGTCTTCTACAAAGGCCTTGGTTGCCATGTTCTCCTTCATCTCTTGCACTTGGTACTGCAGCCCCATGAACTCACTCTTGATCTGCTCGATCTTGTTCTGATCGATCACCTGGACCTTTATCTCTTCCAGCTTCGTCTTCATCATCTTCTGCTCTTCCAGGCTCAAGGTCGAGCTGAGCTCGGACAGGTGGCTCACTAGGTCATCCCACTTCTTGTCGAACTCTCTCTGCGTCATCGTGTTCTTCGACAAGTCCTCGTGCACGAAGGAGTTTCGCAGCCTTCGGAGAGCATCGATGCTGTGCTGCTGCGATCTCTTGATTGAAACAAACCTGGCGCTGTCTGTCAGCAGCCGAGCTAAGATGGTGATGTCCCAATGGTCGACGTCTCCGCATCTGATCTTCTGCATGCTTTCCTTGCCAACCATCTTCTCGAAGTCTCTTCTTGTACAGACTCTGTTGTAGACGGTCTGACCCCCGCTGGAGCTCCAAGGGGTACCATGGTTGCCCTTCCAACCCTCCTTCCACAAACTTCTCAACGTCTTGGGTGCGAGCTCCATCAGGGCTATCTGCAGCCTGTAGGCTCGAATGCGCCCCTCGTCCTTGTCGGGCTGAGCTTTCAGAATCAGCTGCGCGTCTGTAGCGATCCAAGAGGCATCGTCAAGCACGGCCTGCACTCTCAGCTTGTCTCCGACGCAGAGGTCCATCCATTCCTGGTGATATTCTTTGCAGGTCACTTTGACCAGGACGCTCCCGCACTGGACCTCACAGCTCTGATCCACAAACTTCTTCGTTACAAGCCCTTCGAAGATGTTTTGTACGATTTTGGATGCAAAGTTGTTCCAATCGACATTTCGGATGTCATTCTTCATAACTGCTTGAAGCTTGTAGCCATACTTCTGAATGCCAATGTCCTTGGACATCTTGAGATTCAGTTTCTCGCACAACTGCTTTGCTTTGTCCGAAGAGGAGCAGTGAATAGAGCACGTTTTCCTTTGCTTGAGCACGTCAGACTTATCCCAGATCGGGTCGTTGATTTCATCGTAGAGTTGTTTCACGTTGCAGCTCTCAAGAAATTTCTTAAGATCGTTGAGATCGCAGCTAGGAGAAACCCCACAAAGAATTACTATGCAGTCTGTTGATAGTCTTGCAAGTGCACCTGTCAAGTCATCATATACATTCAGTTCTTGAAGCCTTGACAGTACATTCGCACCTGAACCGAAGGAGAAGACAACCGAAGCTCTCTGACCGTGACCAGCAGGCTCTTGCTCGGACTTACTGAAGTTGAAGCCTCCGAAGCCTCCGAAGCCTCCGGCTGGTGGGGATGCGGGTGATCCGAAGGCTGGAGAGCTTGCTCCAAACCCTCCTGAGCCTCCAAACGCCGAAAACGCCTGCGGAGCTCCAAAGGCAAAGGAGGGAGAGGCAGAGGAGCTGGTGGAAAGGCTTTCCGATGCCGATGCTCCAGAAGAAGAGGAAGGGCCTTTGAAAGAAAAGGCAGGCGAACTTGAAGCGTTGGATGGTGTGGGAGAGCTTGCCGCTCCAAACGAGCCTCCGAAGGTCGGAGAGGCTTGCGTAGCTCCAAAGGTAAACAGAGAAGAGGCTTGCGTAGCTCCAAAGGTAAACGGAGGAGAGGCAGAGGAGCTGGTAAGAGGCTCCCTGATGTTGCTCCAGTGCCGAATGCAGGAGCTCCAAACGAAAGCTTGCTGGAGCCAGCAGGGCTTGAAAACCCTCCTGTCCCTTTCTCAGAGCCTGATGGAGGAGCTCCAAAGGAGAATCCTCGAGGGCTGGCAGAGGGCCCTGTGGTTCCGCCTGGTCCTCCTGCTCCTCCAAACGTTGTTGGCGCTCCAAAGACGAATGGAGACGAGGGTGAAGAGCTTGTGTCAGACCCTGTAGTGGAGGCCGCGAAACCAAAAGAAACGTGGGAAGACTTGTGATCATTTCCAAATGGAGAAACTGAAGAGCTTGAGAATGTCGGTGAAGCTCCGAAGCCCAGAGCTCCTAGGGTTCAACTCTGTCATGCGAGGCACATCTGGACACAATAATATATTCATCATCATCACCTGGTTTCGATGTTTTCTTGGGATCAGATTGAGGAACCTCGAACGAGACGGGTGGGAATGGATTGTTGAGACCAAACTTCGGAGCTGCAAAGGCTGTGGGGTTCTCACCTTCAGAGGGCATGGGATAGTTTGTCGAGAAAGAGGAAACAAACAGCCAATGTGCCCTGCGATATCGATCAGATGAAGTATCTTAATAAGGAAAGGATAGTAAGCAGGAGGAGAGGCGAGGAGGAGAGTAGTTCTGTATCCTACCAGTAGAGCGCGGGAGGAGGAGGAGGAGGTCCCAGTAAGGATGTCGATTGAGCAGGGAGCGGCAGGGAGAGGGTGAGCTGGGAGAACTTGGCCTGCTCACTATTTTTGCGCAACTATCAATATACTACAAACATCACACATATACTTCAGACTAGTATCCATGACCAGGGGTACTTTCAATAATTATGCTTGGGGTTACTTGAGGTAAAAGAAAGGTTTAGAATGCTTTCAGTATGTTTATTGATAGTACTTGGTAGACTTTGACCTGGCCGGGCGGCACTGAGTGCCGCAGTGTATCCGCGGCCCGGCCCGTACATCCTTCACTGTCCGGTCACCGGTTTGGCCCGGCCGGTGGACGGACGCCGGCGGCGCAGGCTCACTGAGTCACTGCGGCACTGGCCCGGGCCCGGGGCTGGCACGGCGGGGGCCGGCCCGGGCCGCCGCCGCCCCGCAGTACCCGGCAACTAAGTTTCAATGTCTCAGCCTGTGCCGGTCGCAGGGCCGGGGCCCGGGGGGCGGCGCGACCGTGACCGCCGCAGGCACGCCGGAGCTCACCGTGGGCCGTGGGCCATGCGGACCGTACTCCCGGACCTCCGATCGGTTCAACTCAGTTATGAGTTGTGGGCCCGGGCCGGCCAAGCCTTTTGCCACTTGCCGCACTGGCACCACTTTGTTTAACCTTTAATCGACAAAGGACTCCCCCCGGGGAGTTCCGTACCGTAACTTCAATTTCAGGCCCTAAAGGAGGACGAGGAGAAACCCAACAAGTGGGGTTCCTAGACCTTGTTTTGCTAGACCTTGTTTTGCTAGGCTCAGCGGCTAGACCTTGTTTTGCTTCAAGTTCGCCGCAAATCCTAGACCTTGTTTTGCTTCAAGTTCGCCGCAAATCCTAGACCTTGTTTTGCTTTCGCTTCAACCCCCGGGCCCCTTAGACGGCAGCCAACGGCGCGAGGACCTCAACCTAAAAAAACTGACTTAACTACCCACCCTCTCATCCCCCAATAGAATTACTTAGAGGACTGGGTGGGTACTCCCTGTTTTCGTTGTTTTTTTATCGAGGGGAGGGTTCAAAAGGGGCAGGGAGGGAAGGGGAGAGTACCAAAGCAGCAAGCGCCATGTCCGGCAGAGGCAAGGGAGGTAAAGGTCTCGGAAAGGGAGGAGCCAAGCGTCACAGGAAGGTTCTCCGTGACAACATCCAGGGCATCACCAAGCCCGCTATCCGCCGTCTCGCTCGTCGTGGTGGTGTGAAGCGTATCTCCGGACTCATCTACGAGGAGACCCGCTCCGTCCTCAAGGTCTTCCTCGAGAACGTTATCCGTGATGCCGTCACCTACACCGAGCACGCTCGTAGGAAGACCGTCACTGCCATGGACGTCGTCTACGCTCTCAAGCGCCAGGGACGTACCCTCTACGGTTTCGGAGGATAAATGCAACGGAGGACCAATCGTCATCCCAATGTCCTACTGGTGTTTTTCAACACCCAGTCAGAGCTGGCGCTGGTGCGCATGATGCTGATTCGATCTCAGCACGGCTCCTGCTCATGACTCTAATCTATTCATATATTGATTAGTCCTAGTTATACCCTTGAACGTAATGTGCATTTCTGCAGAGATGTGACCTAATTGATAATGCTAGTACAAACGTTACACGTTGAAGCCTGCACAACACCTTTGAATGTTACTGATGGTGAGATGAGTTTTGTCCTTGCGTGTCATAGTTATCCGGGCTCTGATATTTGGTTCGAACTTGTTGTCAATAGTTGTGAAACAATTTGTTGATTGCGGAAAATCATTTCAAATCCTGTTATCGCATTTCTTTAGACGCCGTCCTGTCAGTCATTTGATTTTAGTGATGGCAGAGGGTCCTCGTAACTCATCATGCATCGTGATTTGCGACATTGTGCCTTGGATCAGATGGAGATGTAAGCTTCGAAGAATTTCTAAATGAACATTGTTCGTCGTTTCAAGTTCTTATAATCCAACTGTCTTCTCAACATGCCTGCAGCAGCTTTCTCACCCTCATTCCTCATCTCGTAACTGCCTCTGTGTTGAACCCAGGGAGATTGTCTGTACGAATGGGCTCTCTTTACCTTTCCCTCTACCTTGTCTGCAGGCCTTGACCTCAGTCGTTGTAACGTTATCACTCTACGTCATAATTGATGGCGTCTTTCAATATGCAGTTCAACTCTGTTGTCCAACTTTTAACCGAGCTCAGTAACCAGAAACGAAACTTGGCAATGTGAGGAGGGAGGGCGGGAGGGCGGGAGGGCGGGAGGGGAAGGAGGAGAGACGGGAGGGGAAGGAGGAGAGACGGGAGGGGAAGGAGGGAGCAGAGCAAGAGAAGTGAGGAGCGAGCAGCAGGCAGCTGATGAGTCTGTGGACAAGCAAAGGCAGAAGAGCGGCAACTTCTGAAAACTGTGTGTACAGACCACCCCACCTACTCGTATTCGTCCCCAAGAGGTATTGAGTAGGGGTACTGCGTGCTCTTTCAATTCGGGGTGGAGCAATGGGGGGCAGTGTGCTGGTTCCCTTGCAGCGATCATGAGTAGAGGTAGAGGATGAGACGAGTACATCCTTGACCATGCCAGACATGCGAGGGTTGTACACATCCATGCGCTTTCAGGGAATGGGAGGATAATCCTCTGACTTGAGGAGCCTTGGAACCTTGCGAGGAAGGGTTGGGAAGGCAAGGATGGCGATGTCGTCTTCGCTGCCCAAGACCGTGCTCTTCTGGCTGTTGAAGAACTGGTTCCTCCCAACGTTGATCTTGCTTGTGGGGAGGCCAGAACTCGTCCTCTCATACGTGAACGCTTTCATTGTCCACCTCATGGATTTCGGTCAGACGTACGGGTACCAATCCATCCTGATCCTCGTCATTGGGATAGGAGTGTTCATCAAGTATATCATGCCTCCTGCTCTTGGAGTCTTTATCTCGTTCCTTGCAAGGAGGTTCCTGAAAGTTTCAGTCGGCTCCATGGCATTCCTCCGCCTGCGCAAGGTCACAGTACAGGACCCGGTTCCTTTCCTGCAGCAGGAGCAAGGGTCGAGGCTATACTTCGAGGAGATTGTCCTGTCAACCAAGTACTTCCAAGCCAAAGAATCCCGGAGGAAGAAGTACTTCGCGCTGATCCTGCGAGGGATCGAGCTGCGAGGAACAGTCAACCTCTCGGCCTTAGCCAAGGGCTCCAAGGCTGCCGAGAAGGCTAAGGCGCCCGCGGAGGAGGAGAGCAGGTCCGGTGGGATGATCAACGACATGAAGCGACTTGTGATCGGGATCTTGAAGCCTTTCCTCTCTCGCTTCATCGCGTGGATGCTTGCCTCCTGGGTCGAGCTCATCGTCATAGACGCCAATGTAGTGCTACAGATCCCTGGCATGGACAGCATCATTCTAAGCATGAAGGAGCTGACGCTGTTCTCGGAGGACGGGCCGGACAGACGAATGTCGATCGAGATGATAACTGAGAAGATCAGCGTCTGGCATGAGGAGGATGGGGACAGCTCGCGCAACGGCAGACATCTCGACGGTATCGAGGAGGCTGAAGGAGATATCCTCCCCCTTAAGAGTGTGGGTAGCAAACGCGTCCGCAGCTCTACCCTCGGTATGTTCACCAACCTGCATCGTCCTTGGGAGAGTGCAGATGAGAAGAGATCGATGAAGACACGGCTGCTGCTCATCAACAGCTTCACCGTAGGCGCTCAGTGCTCCATCACCATCTCCTCAGCCTCGTTGAAGTGCGTGAGTGTGTTTGTTGGCCAGACGTCTGTGTCATGTGACAGCGACGTTGTGTTACGGGCGATGAATGTGTATCAGAACTGGAAGATGCTGTCGCTATCGAGGATAGAGAGAGAAGACTCGCAGCAGGCAGGCCTAGAAGCAGAGGTCTCGTCAGGGTCCTCGACATACCTGAAACATCCTCAGTCCCCTGCTCGGCTCGGATTCGAAAGTCTCATGAGGAGGAGCGGGCGGGGACAGGAGGAGAGCCTGGTGAAGAAGGTCGGCTCTCGTCTCGCGAGCAGGGCCCGTCTCTCCATCATGGAAACACTCAACAGCCCCGACGTTGTCAGGCGGACAAGCTCGGCAGTCGCACGCAGCCTCTTCCGCTCGAGCTCCATGGGGATGCAGGCCGACATGGCCGGGGCCAGCAAGCTGACTGCCGGCGCAGAGCAGAAGAGAGGAGGACAGGTGGTTGCGATGCCAGGGATGCAAAGAGACTGACAATGATGGTTGCAGAAGACAACACCGGCGATGATGGTCAACAAGTTGAAACAGAACATGCATCTGCTACCCGACTGCATCTCCTTCAAGTTTGAGACGATTTCCTTTGCTCTTGCCATGCAGAGCTCGAAGCTTGACCGAGGGATGATGAACAACGATAGAGTGATGCTCAAGGTAGAGCTGAGCAGGTGGGAGAAACTTTCATCTCACATACCTTGCCTCCGTTGATTGTTTTGGTTGTCGCGCAGCCACAACGACAAGGAAATGATGTCGGAGTTGAGAATCGACCGCGAGATCCTGCTGGTGGACTCAGGGGAGGGAGAGGACGAGGACGAGAGGAGAGGAGAGCAGGGAAGGGACCAACATCACCGCGTCCACCAGGTTCAGGTGGTCCTGTCAGACATGCTGCGGTTACAAGTGTCGGAGAGCTGTAAGAACGAGACACTGCACTCTCTGCAGATCTCAGGTTGGTGGTGGAATGAGGTCCTGTCGTTGACACGATGACTGGTGGTTGATGGGGGAATTTGTAGTTGCCCATGCAGGATGATGATGATGGAGATGATGATGATGATGATGATGGAGATGATGATGATGGAGATGATGATGATGATGATGATGGAGATGATGATGATGATGATGATGGAGATGATGATGATGGAGATGATGGAGATGATGATGATGATGATGATGATATAAGACGACAATGACGGTTCGTGTGATATTGATGAGAGCTTTGTTGATGGAGGGATTGACCATCGTTGCTAGGTATCGATTTCGAAGCCTCGCTGGTAATCCCGGAGGTCAAGGGGAGATGGAGAAATGCAGTTGACCTAAGACCGTCGTTTCATCCTTCTCTTGACATAGCTAGACTTGAAGTTGTCACTGAGGTGATTGATCCTTATCTCTTGACTCGTTTTATGACTCCTGCTCCCGCTCCTCCTCCTGCTCCTCCTCCTGCTCCTCCTGCTCCTCCTGCTCCTGCTCCTGTTCCTGCTCCTGCTCCTGCTCCTGCTCCTGCTCCTCCTCCTCCTCCTCCTCCTCCTCCTCCTCCTCCTCCTCCTCCTCCTCCTCCTCGTGCTCCTCCCTCCTCCTTCTCTTCCTTTCCTTCTCGTTCTCGCTCCCTCTGTCAGTCCTCCCTCCCCCTCAGCACCCTGGACTTTGTCGACATGATCAAGAGGCATGCGGAGCAAGAGCTCATGGCCGACAGCTCCTTCGCTTCCTCCTCCTTCCTCTTCAGCCGAGTCAAGTCCGACGGCAACGATGTCGTCCTCGAGCCGTCCTCCGATCCCGGCGGCAGCGATCCTCGGCTCAACTTCAGCTTCGTCCTCCAGCACGCGCTAGGGAGGGTGAGGCTGAGGATGAGCAAAGGAGAACCGGTCGATTTCATCCTCGACTGCGGCAGGCCTTGTCCTCCAAGCGGTGAATCCCCCCTCCTTCCCCCCTCACCACCACCACCTCCTCCTCCTTCTCCTCCTCCTCCTTCTCCTCCTCCTCCTTCTCCTCCTCCTTCTCCTCCTCCTCCTCCACCTCCGTCTCCTCCTCCTCCTCCACCTCCGTCTCCTCCTCCTCCTCCTCCTCCTCCGTCTCCTCCTTCTCCTCCTCTCCTCCTCCTCACTGACGCTGATGATGCCGCAGCGGTAGGAGGAGAGCGATATCATGCGTTGCTCCTGCAGATTGCCGATGCTTCCACCCCTCAGCTGGACCCCAGGGACTCAGCCGAGCCGTTCCGGGGGTGGGGGGAGGAGGAAGGAGGAGGAGAGGTCTCCTCCTCGGTCTCCATGATCGACCTGCGGCTAAACGCCATCAACTTTGCAGTATCGGGATGGCAAGGAGGAGGAGGAGGAGGAGGAGGAGGAGGAGGTGGAGGTGGAGGTGGAGGTGGAGGTGGAGGTGGAGGTGGTGGTGGTGAAGGAGGAGGAGGAGGGAGGCTTGTCTCCTACTCCTTGTTGGAGATAGAGACCTGCTCCCTCTACGTCCACCTCAAGGGCTTGCTCAAGGGGAAGCCGGAGCCGCTAGGGGAGGAGAGGGCGATAGGAGAAGTGTCCGGGATCCTCGTGTCGCTAGAGAGGAGGAGTATGAGCATGCTGTTGGAGGCTGTGCTCCCCTTGCAGCGGGGGAGGAGCGGCAGGTCCCACAAGTCGAAGAGGAAGGAGAAGGACGTTGCTGTTCCTTTCCGCATCCACTTTCAGAACGTGCGGCTGGTGGTGTGCTCCGAGCTCTGCCCTCTCCTGCGGGAGTCGCAGCTGTTTGCGAGGAAGGAAGGCAAGAGCGGCAGGAGCCCGTTGAGGAGGAGAGAGAGGGAGAGGAGGAAGGGGGAGGGGGAGGAGGAGGAAGGGAAGGAAGAGGAGGAGGAGAGACGAAATCTTTCAGGAGTGTTTGGCATCTGCCTACTGCAGGGGGTTGTGGAGCAGGACGAGGAGAAGAATTTGTTAGTCCGGCTCTCGCACGAGGACGTCGACTTCCCGCAAGTGTTGAGGAGGGGATGTCAGAGGAGGTCAGCTATCGTCGTCTCGTTCCGGGAGAAGCATGCTGGCACAGACAGTCTGCTGGTGCCATCGTGGGAGGAGGGAGACAACGAACTGCAGTCGGAATGGAGGGAGGAGAAGAGGAGGAAGCAGTGCACTGCCGAGGAGGAAGGTCATATCCTGCTGAGCGTGCGATCGCTGCAGCTGCAGCTGGGGGCGGAGGATGCGGTGGTGGATAATCGCTTGGAGGACAGCGCGGAGGACTGGAGGGAGCTGTACAAGAGCAACAGCGGCAACGACCAGCCCGTGCGAGGAGACTCGTACCAGGAGCGGGAGAGCGTCACCTGCCAGCTGAGCAGGAGGCTGTCTGTGGATGTCAGGGGGGTGCGAGTGTACTGGGAGTCCAGCGTGCAGTTCTCCTTGCTGATCCTGCTGCTGCAGTACGTCAAAGAGGCTCTGGAGATCCGTCGGAGGCAGGACATGTTCCCCCACAAGCCTGAGTGGACTTCTGTGCACAGCGGACGAGAGCAGGACGGGGAGGAGTGTGCGCTGGAGGACAAGCTTAAGAAGTTGGGGATCAAACAGTTCTCCCTCAGCCTCGCTGACGTCATCGTCAACCTGCAGTTCAGCCCCCGCGCCATCATCGCCCTGCGCATGGCCTGCTGGCGTCTCGACCTGATGAGGGTTGTGGTCGACAAGGAGGCTGCCAGGCTCCTCAAGTGGTTCTTCTGCTGCCGCGTCTCACAGTTCGCCGCGTATCGTCTCCGTGGCTCGGTGTGGGACGCAGAGTACGAGGAGGAAGACGAGGTGAGGGAGGAGGAGGAGGAGGCGAGGGAGCCGTCCATAGCGCACGATAAGATTGTGGAGTTGACGGCGCTAAGGGCAATGGTTCCTCTGGAAGTAGCAAGCGCCAAGAAGGCGGAGTACGCAGGGCCGGACGTTGTGTTCCACTGCGACGACCTCAAGGTCAACGTGCCGTTCCCCGCCAACATTACCCTGCACGGACGGCAGGAGGGGCTACGAGGGAGGTGGGAGGACCAGCCGGCCGATGCTGACAAGCGAGCGGCTGCTGCGGAGTTGGGTGAGCTGACGGGAGGAGGAGGAGGAGGAGGAGGAGGAGGAGGAGGAGGAGGAGGAGGAGGAGGAGGTTGTCAGCATTAGAGCAAACTTCATATCATACCCTGCTGACGCATCAGAGCCTGTCAAACATTGTCTGACATGACATGACATGACATGACATGACATGACATGACATCTTTGCTTGACGCTGACATGTGTCAACAGGTCTAGTGATGTCCGACGTCCTGCTCGTGATGAAGGGGCTGCTGCTGCTCGCAAAGAGTTTCGCGGAGGAGGCAGAGGGATCAGAGAAGAACAAGCACAAGGTCACAGGTTTCCCTCCTGCCCTCCCCTGGTTCCGAGGCAGCATCTCCAACATCTCCATCAGAGTCGAAGACGACCGGTCCTTCCTTCCTCCTCCCCTCGTTCTCCTGCTCCTGCTCCTGCTCCTGCTCCTGCTCCTGCTCCTGCTCCTGCTCCTGATCCTGATCCTGATCCTGATCCTGCTCCTGCTCCTGATCCTGCTTTACTCCTACTACTCCCTATTTCTACTCCTTCACGTTCTGTTCACCCCCTGTCCCTTTGCCCCTCTGCTCTCGTTTCTACTTCCCTTCTGATCTCGCTCCCCTCTCCTCCTCTACTTCCTCCCGCCCCCCCCCTCACCCCCTTTTCCTCTTCCTTCCTCTCCCTTCATCTTCCAAATGCTCATGGCCTGGTAGGTTCGAGGTCTGGATGAGCGCCTTCTACCGCCTGCAGCTGGACGAGAGCAGGGAGAGGGAGAGGAGAGAAGCGATCCTCGAGGAGAAGCTGGCGCAGCAAGTCGTAGGCAACCAGCTCTCTGCTCAGGCTGCGGTGAGAGCGCGACCTTTGCTGCTCCTCAGGCTCTGACGCCTCCTCAAGGAGAAGCTCGAGAGTCTTGCTCGGGCAAGGACGATGGAGATGCAGTCGGTGAGAAAGGAGGAGGGGGAGGAAGAGGAGGGGGAAGAGGAAGAGGAAGAGGAGGGGGAAGAGGAGGAGGAGAGGGAGGAGGAGGCGGAGAGGAGGACGAGGACGAGGACGAGGACGAGGACGAAGAGGAGGGGGAGGAAGAGGAGGAGGAAGAGGAAGAGGTGGGGGAAGAGGAGGAGGAGAGGGAGGGGGAGGAGAAGAAGAATGAGGACGAGGCGGGGTGGAGGGGGGAGGAGGAGGGGAAGGATGGCGTCTGACAAGCTGTTGGCAGCGCTGCTGGAAGGAGCGGGTAGACAAGTTCAGCCTCTGCGACTACTTCAGAGATCCTCCTCCCCTCCTTAACTTCACCGTCGGCTCGCTCGCTGCCAAGTTCAAACCTCTTCCTCCTGCCCACCTCGAGAAACAGGTTTACTTCCCCCCCCTCAGGATCGTTTCCCATCCTCCTTATCAGCAGCTCTTTTCTGACCATCTTTGTCCTCCTGCTCCTGCTCCTGCTCCTGCTCCTGCTCCTGCTCCTGCTCCTGCTCCTGCTCCTGCTCCTGCTCCTGCTCCTGCTCCTGCTCCTCCTCCCGCATCTGCTCATCTACTCTTCTCACCGAGAGCAGGTGGAGGCGCTGGATCTTTCCGGCATCAACATGAAGTCAGGCTTGTGGCCGATCTTCGACATGATTGTCGGCGCAGAGGTCGAGCAGCTCACAGCCACCAGCGTCTGCGTGCGCATCCGAGACTACAGCGAGCCGCTGCTGGCCACCTCCTCCCTCAACGTCACGGGGAAGAAAGGGAAGCAGCTCAAGGGATACATCATCGCTACTGAGGAGGTCGCCCCTGCTACTCATAGGACTGTCGTTGAAAAGGTTCGACTGCTTGCCTTCCTCCCGCTGCTCCTGCACCTGCTCCTCCTCCTGCTCCTGCTCCTGCTCCTGCTCTTGCTCCTCCTGCTCCTCCTCCTCCTCCTCCTCCTCCTCGCCGCCATCCCCATCGTTCTAGCCCAAAGCTTTCTTCGATTTCTTTCTTCCTCTCCCCTCCCTTCCTCTCCTCTCATCCTAGGTTTGATACTTCTGCAGCAAATTCATCCTGAATTTCCCCCTGTCCGCATCCCAAAATCCTTCGCCTCTACTAAGATTTGGATGCAACTTGACGTCAATATTTGCGAGCCCAAGGCGAGTTTGAGCCTCCTCCTCTTCCTTCCCCGCCCCCCCCCCTGCTCCTCCTCCCCTTCCTGCTCCTCCTGCTCCTCCTGCTCCTCCTGCTCCTGCTCCTGCTCCTGCTCCTGCTCCTGCTCCTCCCCTTCCCGCTCCTCCGCCTCCGCTGCACTGCCCCTCCGGAAAGCCCCCTCCCCCTTCTATCAGGGTCCTTCTCGTCTTTACTGGACCTCAACTCCTCCTGCTCCTGCTCCTCCTCTTCCTCCTCTCGCATCTCATCGACTCTTCAGGTTGCGTACGGTCCCTGCTATGTTCCCGGCATCGGCATCATCAGCATGGTCGCCTCCTGCCTGTTCCCCCCTGGGATGGATCCAAGTCCTCCTCTTAGCTCCTGGGACAAGGTATCTCCTTCCTTCCTCCCCCTCCCCTCCTTGCTCCTCCCGCTACCTTCTCCCCTCCTTGCTCCTCTTTCTCCTCTTCACTCTCCTTCAATGCATCTGCTTCCCTCCTCCTCTCTCGCCCCATGCCCCTCCTCCTTCCCTACTCTCTCCTCTAGTCACCCCCCCCATCTTTCGTGATGTTCCGCTGCCTCATCAGGCGAGGATGCTCCTGCACGGCAGCTGCGACCTCCACATGGACAAGGCCTCGCTCCGCCTCCTCTCAGACAAGAACCCTTACGAGGTAACACGGAGCAAGAGCAGAGAGCAGAGGGCAAAGAGCAGAGAGCAGGAGTAGGAGTAAGACTACACCTTGTATATCTGACCTTTATCTCTTCTCCCCATCAGGCGCGCCAATGCTTTCAGATGCGAGCTGAGCCAGTTACCATCACCTACGAGTGCTCGTCGCCCTCACCGTCTCCTTCCATCGTCTCTCCCCTGGCAAAACCCTCCTCCTCTACCGCTAGCCAGCAGCAGCAGCAGCAGCAGCAGCAGCGGGTGGGGAGGATCCACATCGACGTCGAGATGGTCGAGTGGGCGATTCAGAGCATGAGCAAGGAGATGGCGAGCTACATGCTGCTGCGCAAGCCTTTCTTCAAGGCCGTCAGGATGAACATCACAGTCAGGTGACGAAAGGATGTCCGCTCCTCCTCCTGCTCCCTCCTCTTCTGCTCCTCCTCCCCCTCCTGCTTCCCTTCCTTTTGCTCCACCTTCCTTCCTCTGCACTTCCTTCCTCCTCTTGCTCCTCCTCCCTCTCCTCCTCCCCCTCCCCCTCTTACTCCTCACTCTTACCCTCACAGCTTGCACTGGAACTGCCTCGGGTCTCCCTTCGAACATCATCTTACCCAGATGGTCTCCGAGACCATGACAAGAGCCAACGGGAGCGGCTCCCCGCCCCCTCCTCCTCACCTCTCCTCCTCCTCCTATCCGGACAGGATCTCGCGCAACTCGTCGGAAATCAGCGAGTTCGAGGATGCGATCTCGGCAGTCGACGACAGCCAATGGGACGCCCCCAGCAGCCACCCAGCTGGGGAAGATGAAGCTGAGGAGGGAGGGGAGGAGGCAGGTGGCGGGGTGCTGGGGTCGAACTTCGACACCTTCCGGTCGTTCCGCTCCTCCGCGCTCGCGTTGACGTCCAGGTTGTCAACCTTTGCAGCTCACAGCGTCTTGCATCTCAACACCATCCGATGGCTCAAGGTCTACTCCTCCTTCCCTCCTCCAGCTCCATCCCTCCTGCCTCCCCTCGTTCCCCTCTCCCTTCCTTCCTCTGCCTTCCTTGCTTCTCCTGTCTCCCTCCCCATTGCTGCTTCCCTCCCTCTCTCCCTGCTCACCTCCCTCCCTCCTCTGACTAGCCCTGCAGGCGTTCATGTCTGCGTTCGAGATGGACGCTGATCCCGTGATCCGATTCACGGGGAAGGTGGAGGAGAGGAGCGGGAAGTGCTGGAAGGTGGCGAACGTCAAGAGCTCGTTCGGCAAGCATGTCAAGGCGATGAACATCATGCTGCTCAGCAAGAACCTGGAGCTCGACTGCTTCTACGTCGGAGAGCACAGGGAGTTTGCGGGGGAGGCTGCCGCAGCCAAGAGCACAGTGCTGGCGTTCACTGGGGAGAGTCTGCAGGTGAGGAAGAGGGAAGACTGGAGAGGAGTGGAGAGAGGAGGGAGGAAGAGAAGAGGGAGGGGAGATGGGAGTAAGATAGCTGCTGTCGTGCTGTGTCGTGCCTCAACACACTTCCCTCAGTCTCCTTCCCTAAGTGTCATTCCCCAAGTCAGCAACGTGCTTTTCTCAGCTCTTGCTCGCAACTTGTTCCTCTGTATCTCAATTGTGTCTCACAGGATGACATGTATCTCCCCAGCATCTCGCGTGTATCTCGCGAATCTCACTTGTATCTCACTTGTATCTCGCAGGTCAACACGAGGGTGGAGCGATCGTCGCTGAGCCTCGGCGGGGAGCAGCAGCACGAGGACGCGGTTGACGACCTGGAGAACGCGACCGGGTCATGGCAGACGGTTGATACCTCCCTGAGGATGAAGAACCTGGTCGTCGCCGCCCTCCCTCCCGTCGTCGGAGAAGACTTGACCGTCTCTCCTGCTCATCCCATCGCCTCTGCAGTCGAGGTCGAGTTCCTCTCCGGTGAATCCCTGCAGACCAAGGGCAAGTCGCAGGTCGACTCGCTGTCGCCGCAGCGGACGAACAGGACGGCGTCGATCACTCGGAGCATGGAAGCAAAGCTGAGCAAAGACCCGTCTAACTTAGAGGGAGCTGAGATGCACCAGTGGCTGCTCAGGCAGCACAGCATCCTCAGCTGGAGACAACGCAGGAGGTCAGCTCAGTCTCCCCAGCCTGCCCAACTCTCCGTCTCCTCCCTCCAGCAGGTGCTCAGCAGCCTGGTGAAGGCGAGGCTCATCCACGACCACACCTACCGCTTCAAGGTCTACCACCGCGTCTTCCTGGGCACTCAGTTCGTCGACTGGTGCCTGCAGGAGAACTGGAGCAGCTCGAGGGAGGAGGCGGTGGTGCTGGGGCAGAGTCTCATGGACGAGAAGTTGATCCGTCGGGTCCCGCAGTCCCCTCACTTCGAGGACTCGCCCACCTTCTACCGCATCCGCGAGTCTGTGGTCCCCGAGCAGACGGTCGAGCTGGACAGCAACAGCTGGAGCAAGGTGTGGGGGAGCCAGAGGCCAGGACGGGCCAAGTTGAAGGAGGAGCAGGGGATGGTGGGGAACGAGGACCCCTCCTTCAAGCTCATTCTGAGGGGGCTCTGCCTCCAGTGGACCAGCGAAATCCGGGAGATCATGAGGGACTGGCAAGTCCTCTACACCCTCGCCACCCGCTCCCACGTCAGCCGCAGGTACCCTGTGATCGACTGCTCCAGCTCGCCCCCAGCTGAGAGCTCCCCCTCCACGATGACTTCGGATGAGGAGGCCAGGGTCTCCCCAGCTCTGGCCCAGCCCTCGTCCTCTTCAGCAGCGATGCTGGAGAGCGAGGCGGGGGTGAGCCTGGTGGAGCATCTGATCAAGACGTCGATGCTGCAGACGAGCGCGTACGTCGAGTCGAGCCAGGGGAAGGACGGGGAGCGAGGCTTTACCTCCATCCTCACCTCCCCGCGGGGAGAGGACAGGAGCACGACCTCCAACATCGTCAGCTCCATCGCCCTCCTCAAGAACAAGATGCCCAAAAGGTGCGACGTGCGGTGGATCGTGCAGTTCCTGGACGCGCAGCTCGGGGTTGAGACGGGGGAGCTGGCCGGGCCCGGGTCGGGAGCTGAGAGGGTCATCGTGCATGCTGAGAGCGGGACCATGAAGCTGCTCTACTTCGACTTCTCGTCCGGGCAGGGGGTGGGAGGGGAGGGGAACAAGTCAGACACGGAGATCAGGCTGCTGGAGATGAGCAACCTGCAGGCGTTCGTGGTAGAGAAGGACCGGGAAGCCGACGCGTCCGCTGGGAGGGGAGAGCCGTCGAGCATCGTGGAGAGGTGGGGGACGACGGTGTGGAGGACGAAGGAACAGGGTGCCGACCTGCTCCAGCCCGTCCTGTCGATCGAGGGGCTGGACGAGAGGGGCCGGCCGGACCCGACGGGAACTGCCATGTCCCTCTCGCTCTCTAAGGCTGTGACCGACCTCATCGGGAGCCAGACGCAGACCAACGCTCCCAAGGAGTCAGCTGGGGAGCAGGCGGGGTCGGAGGTTGAGGTTTTGTTCTTCAACCTGAAGCTGGCAACGGACACGAGCCAGTTTCCCCCCCTGCTGAACTGCCTCAAGGACATGATGACGCCTGTGTCGGCCGACAAGTTCATGGCAGAGGAGACGAGAAACATGCGGCATATGGTTCAGCTCATGCCTCAGGTGGCGCTTGACCTCGAGAAGATGAAGGAGGACCAGGTAAGGAACCCTCCTCGTACCACTACTACTCTTTCTCCTCCTCCTCCTCCTCCTCCTCCTCCTCCTCCTCCTCCTCCTCCTCCTCCTCTTACCTTGTCGTCCAGCTGCGCCTCCTGCAGGAGATTGAGAGTCTACAGAACCGCTACGCCGACATCGAACGACAGCAGCTAAGCATCTCCTCGGAGGCGCGGGGGCAGGACGGTGAGCTGAGGGCCATCTGGAAGCAGCAGGAGAAGGAGAAGTTCGTGCTGGGGAACCAGCTGGCGGAGAAGAGGGAGGGGTACGCGCAAGTCTCCAAGAAGATCACTGCTCTGACCACAGCGTCGGAGGCGTCGGAGCAGAAGGACAGGATAGGGCGGATCACGCTGCAGGTCAAGAGGGGGTCGTGGCTCATAGGGCCGAGGGAGAAGCGGATAGCAAACCTGTCCATCCGGGGGGTGAGGTTTTCCCAGCTCAACAACGTGGCCCTTGGGGTTCCCATCGACTACACGTTCCGCCTTTCCTTCCTACAGATCGAGAGCTTGCTCGAGGACCCGGTGACTCCCAAGATTCTCCCCTTCTTCCTCCTCATCCTCCTCATTCTCCTCCTCCTCCTGCTTCTCTTCCTCATCCTCCTCCTTCTGCTCCTTCTACCCCTACTTGCTTTATCCAGCTGCTCTTGTTTCTGTTGCTGGTACCCACACTTCTTCCTCGTCGTCTGCTGCTCCTGCTTTTGCTCCTACTCCTGCTCCTGCTCCTGCTCCTGCTCCTGCTCCTGCTGCCGCTGCTCCTGCCGCTGCTCCTGCTGCTCCTGCTGCTGCTTCACTCTCCGCCCACTCCTCTCCCATCTCACTCTACGCTTGCCGTCCTTCTTCTCACACATCGGATCTGCAGTGGAACGCCGACTTCCGGCAAGTGCTCGGACCTCTCTACAGCAAGGATGACTTCAACTTCGTCGACGACAAGTTCTTCAACAGGAGCGACTCAGCCATGCTCTCTGTGCATGCCGAGCAGCTGGCCAAGCCCGAGGGAGATCAAGTCGTTTTCTCCCTCTTCTCTGTTGAGATCTATCCTATCAAGATCCAGATCACCGAGGTCTTCTCATCTCCTCCTCTCTCCCTCGCTTCCTCTCTCCCTCCCCTCCTCCATTTCTGCTCCCTCCCCTCATTCCCTGTCTCTCCCTCCTTTCATGACGGCGGCTACTTCTGCTCCTACTCCATTCATCTTTTCCTTCCCCGTTATCTCGCTTCCTCTCTCCGTTTCCTACCTCCTTTCTTCTTGTATGGCACTGAATTCTTTCCTCTATCTCCCCCTCCTTCCTCACCCTGCATCCTCTTGCCTCCCTCCCTCCATCCCTCCGCCCGCCCGCCCTCCTCCCCTCCCCTCTCCTCTCTTCCCTTCACAGGACCTCTACAATGGCATCTACACATTCTTCTTCCCCGGCAAGTGGAAGGTGAACCAGGGACTGAGGGAGTGGGAGCACGAGGGGCTCCCCCTGTACCTGTACGACAAGGAGAACCGCAAGGTCGTCCTCCTTGAGCAGAAGCGACAGTTCTACCATGTCGTCAAGAAGTCTGCTCGCCCCTCCCTCACCGACGACTCCAACCTCTTCTCCGTCTCCTCCGCCACGAGGAGGAAGAGCGTCGATGCCTTCGCAGGAGTGGATCAGGTCATCTCCTTCTCCTCCTCCTCGCCTTCCTTGTGCTCGTTCGCCTCGATCCCCTCCTCCTCTCGCCCTTCTTGTGCTCGTTCGCCTCGATCCCCTTCTCCTCACCCTCGTCCTCTTTCTTGTCCTCCTCCTCCTTATCCTCGTGCTGCTTGACGTCCTCCTACTCCTCCTCCTCCTGCCAACCCCTTGCCCCTGCTCACCTATCCCTCCCTTCCAAGTGTTGAAGGTCTCGTGGCTGCCAGGTGCGGGACGGGGAGGGCAAGGCAAGGCTCTACGAGGAAGCAAGCTTCATCTTCCCCGCAGGCGAAGGGTCGAGGTTCGTTGCGAGGACGAACAAGGACGTGGAGGAGATGAAGTTGAGAGCTCGCGATCACATTGAGTTCAACGACGTCCGCTTCCTCTCCTGCCTCCGGCAACGAGGCCTCGAGGTCTCCATCAGCTACAAGAGCAGGAAGGGAGCTATCCCTGACATCGACAACCTCGTCGTCGAGCTCCCCGACGTCAACTTCCCCAAGGAGCGGCAGCATGACGGCGCCATCGTGTGCACATGGCAGGAGCTGTACCACATGTGGCTGCACGAAGTGAAGTGGCCAGTCATCAGCCAGGTGACCCGCAGCATCTGGGACAAAGTGAAGTGGAGGAGGAGGGCTGCAGACACAAGCTTCTCCGGCATGGAGGCGGTTGGGAAGGAGCGAGTGCTGGAGCGCAAGGGCTCGAGCGAGGAGTACAGCAAGGTGGCCAAGTCCATCTACTCCCCCAGGGGAGGCTCGATCCACACGGAGGAAGCGTTCCGCGAGAAGGAGATGCTGCAGGCACGGTCCTCCTACCTCACGCAGAAGAGCATCAGCCAAGTTCGCAACAGCTACTTGTAGTCCTCTCCTCTTGTACTCTGCTGTAAATCTTATCTCTCACGCGCTCTCCCCTTTGCGGTACCTCCACAACCCTCCATACCTGTAGTCCGGGTGGTCCAGGTCCCCGTCAGGTACTCCGCCACTCACATCCTTCCAGCACTTCCCGCACACGAGCCTCCAGCCCTGCCACTCCTTGCAGCTGCACCGGATCAGAACCTCGCACTCCTGCTTCTCGCATCGCTCGCAGCTCTTCCTGCCGCTCTGCCGCTTCGCCTGCTTCTGCTCCTTCGCCGCCAGCTTTCGGTTCTTCCTTGCAAGCTTCCTATCCTCCTCGGAGAGCAGCCGCTCATCTTTCTTCGAGATGACTTCTGGCTTGACCGATGATGCATCCTCCACCGCCTCATCCAGATGCACTTCGCCAAGGTTCTCGGATCCAACCGCTGTCATGCTCAGCAGTCTTGCTCGCACGAAAGGAGGTGAAGTCCAACAAGGCTTCACCTCTACAGGACGGAAAGGTAGAGAAGGAGCTCGTAAAACCAGCACGTTCACCGAAGTCACTTGCTTCAGGATGAGCGAGGGGACGAGAAGCAAGAGGTTGAGGTGAGGACGAATCTTGACGACGGAGGCAATCACGGGTTTAAGAGAGGAGTGGATGCTGAAGGGCGGCACGCGCAGAGAGATTGAAAGAGGACGATCCAAGTTGTATCGATGTTGGAGGAGGAGGAGGAGGAGGAGGAGGAGGAGGAGGAGGTGGTGGTGGTGGTGGTGGAGGAGGAGGAGGAGGAGGAGGAGGAGGAGGAGGTGGTGGTGGTGGTGGTGGTGGTGGTGGAGGAGGAGGAGGAGGTGGTGGTGGTGGTGGTGGTGCTTTGGACTTTATATGTCCAAAATACAACCAGCACAGGCTGCATCGGGCCTGCCAGATATCAGTGGAATTCCACCCCTACCCACCTACCCACCTACCAGCCAGCCTACCAGCCCCCTACAGACCTACCTACCCTAGTCCCTACCCCACCCTACCCCCTCGTTCCCTGGTCCCACACCATCCCCACCTATCGGACCACTTCTTTTTTTGGACGGCCCGCCAGCTCCTAATCGGCATCATGGCAGGAGCCTGCGGGCTTGCGCTGCTCGGGATGGTGACGCTGCTGCTCTTGGAGCAGGCTGAGGCTGTGAAGTCTGTCCCTTGTGGTTCTTGCTCCTTCCAGATCTCAGACACCGGGGTTCTCTCTCGGGTGCGAAGCTGTGCCAACGACTGTACCTCCTTGTTTCTGAGCTCCAAGGGCATCAAAACCATCCAGGCCAGAACGTTTGATGGGCTTTCAGACTTGAGCACGTTATACCTCTCGGGCAACAAACTCTCAAACCTTGCGACAGACACCTTCTACGGAGCTTGGAACCTGAGAACGCTCTCGTTGGACAGCAATGAGCTTGTTACGCTTCCCGCAAGGTCGTTCGATGGCTTCACGCAACTGAGTACTTTATACCTCTCCAACAACAAGCTCAGCGTGCTGCAGGCAGACATGTTCCAGGGGCTTTCGTCTCTGTCGACGCTTAAGCTCGTAAACAACCCGATAACCGTCCTTCAGGCCGAGACTTTCAGCAGACTGTCAGGCTTGTTCTCCTTGTATCTTTCTAACTGCAAAATCAGTACCATAGAAGCGAAGGCATTCAAAGGGCTGCAAAGACTATACCAGCTCTATCTGGACGGCAACATGATCTCTGATCTACAAGCGGGCACCTTCGCAGAGGTCTCGGGGTTGTATGAGCTGCACCTCGACTACAATCAGATCGTAAGTCTTGGAGCTGGTGCCTTCGATGGGCTGCGAAACTTGAGGTCCTTGCATCTGAACAACAACAAGATCATCAAGATCGCCGTCGGAGCCTTTGCTGGGCTCTCAAGACTCTCCAATCTTCATCTTGACAACAACCGTCTCAGCGACCTCGAGGCAGGAGTGTTCAGCAAGCTCTCGAGCATGCAGGATCTGCACCTCTACAACAACTCCTTGACAAGAGTGGGGCCGGGGATGTTCGACGGGCTGGAGGGCCTGCAGAAGTTGTTCCTCTACAGGAACGCCATCAGCTGTGTCGCCACCAGAGCCTTTGACAAACTTAAGAAGATCTCTTACCTGGACATACAGGACAACCCGATCCCCTGCTATGACAGCAGCTGGCCCACCTTGATCCAAGTGAAGCCCGGGCTGCAGCCCTGCACGGTCGAGACGAACTGCACTAGGCTGGCTCCCACCCCAGGGCCGATCAAGATAGTCATTTTCGCGGTCGAGTTCGAGCTGATTCTCGAGCAGTTCGCGGCGATCAGGGACAAGTACGAGGCGAGCTTCGCCGCAGCCGCGCGTGTTGATCGATCCCTGGTGAACGTCTTGGAGGTCAAAGAGGCCTCCGCCCGTCGGACAAGGCCAGGCAGGGCGCTGCTAGCTAGCGGGATAGTGGTGTTGACGGAGGTAAAGGTTCCTCAGTCCTACGACGACAGCAGCTTGACCGTGGACAAGGAAGTGCTGAATGCGCAGCTGGAGAGAGACGGCCTTCCAGCAAGCAAGAGTGTGAAGCGAGTGTCTGGAGGGGATACAAAGGGGCTCAGCATGACGGACTACATAATCGTTCTGGTTGTGAGCGGGGTCGTCTTCGTTTTAGTTGTCGCTCTTGTCGCTCGATGCCTTGCGAGGAAGAGGATCGTACAGATGGAGATGTTTGAGATCCGAACCTTCCCATCAGGTGAGCTGCATGAAAGGCACAAAACTCAACAGTCCCGCAAGGATGTTTCGTATGACATCTGAATCACCACTAAATGGGCCGGGCTAGACAGCAATTTTTTTACAGGCCTCTTCTTGTCTAGCAGCAGCAGGGTCTGTAGTGTCAACTCCTAATGTTTACATGTAAACTGGTTTGTGTTATGTTAACTTCTCTCTCATCTCCTAGACATCTTCTGTGAACTTGCGGCACTGACCTGATGAACATTCAACCGTCAAACATCTCAAGGTGGTCGGAAATGATTTGTGTGCTGGTGGAGACCAGTCGACCCCTCCCCCCGCAATTCAGTACCAGCAAGTTTACTTATCCTGCTACATAATGCATCGTCCATGTCGAGGCTTCCGTCCGCTGTCGCTGCTGCTGCTGCTGCTGCTGCTGCTGACGGACAGGGGGAGAGGAGGAGGGGAGAGGGGAGAAGGACGAAGAGGAGGAAGATCTCTCCAGGAGGAGGAGGCGAGGGGGGAGGGCGTGAGAGACTGTGATTGTCAACTCCTGTCCCCTGAAAGCATTTGGCGACCTAGACAGAGCTACTGGGAGTCATGGACGGTAGCTGCGCACTGGAGGGCGTCGAGATTTCTTGGGAGGAAGGGAAGGAAGCGATCGGAGAGGGAGAGAGAGTGGAGGAGCAGAGCTCTCCTCTCCCTCCCGTTCCCTCTCCTCGTCTTGCAAGGGAGCGATGCTTCCCGAAGCTTTCTCTTGGAGGACTCGAAACTACTTCCGCCTCCCGCCTGCGGGAGCATGGAGGAGTGCATGAAGGTGCTGGTGGAGCAAGGCTTCGTCGAGGACACGGCTCTCACTGCTGCTGCTCTCGCTCGCGCGGGCCCGTTCACTCTTCAGAAATTCCGCTCTATCCTGCACCTCACAGCAGCGGTAGCTGAGGGGATCAGAAACAAGGCTCCTCTCCTGGGGATTTTTCGCGACCATGTGGACACACGTCTGCGTCTCACAGAGCTCGTGGGCTCGGTGCAGGAGGCAGTGCGTCAGCTTCCCAGCAGCAGCGACATGCTGCTCCTGGAGGTGCGGGGGGAGACTTGCTGGCTGCTGCAGTACTGCGATGCCCGTCCTCTGCTCGCCAGAGCCTTCAAGCCCGTCAGGTCAGCCGCGTTTGTGCTGACGAGGAAGGGGATGCTGAAGCTGAGGAGGATGATTCGATTCTCCCCCCACCTGCTGCTGAACGGCAGGGACGGTATGCTGGCGCAGCTGATCAGGGCGGGGAAGATGGAGGCGTACTTGGCACTGGAGATGCCGCTGATGGTGGAGGATGTTGGAGGAGAGGAGGGGGAGGAGCAGGTGATGCCGGGGTTCTGTGTGGAGGAGGAGGATCTGCTAGAGATGATGGTGCTGGATCAGCACTTGCACTTGATGTCTGGCGTTGAGATGAGAGGAACGGTTGATGAGATGGGAGATGAAGTGAGGATATCAAACGCGGAAGTGTTGGAGCTTGGAGGAGAAGATTCAAATCTTCTCTTCTCCATCCTCGACCTCTCGTTCTTGCAAGATTGGGATCTTTCCGATGGAAAGGAGATCCACATCATGTCTTTGTCTACTCAGCGCTCGTGGGTTGTTGTCGGTTCATCAAAGGACAAGTCAAAGACCCTTGTAGCGCTCGATCAAGAAAGCCTGTGCTATCCGTATGCCAACTGGTGCTCGTTGAACGTCTCGCTGCTCGACGGACAGGGGAACGTGTTGTCTTCTCTGCTCAGGACAACTTTCATGTCATCCCAGGAACGTCAAAGTCGTCCCCAGCAGCAGTTTGCCTCTTTGCACCCGCTGATCGTGGGTACGTTTGACAACGGCTGGCCTCTCTCCCCCTTCTACAGCAGGAGCCCTGGTTGTAGTATCTCAAAACATGTCGAAAACGTCAAGCATAAGGGGGAAAGAGAGGAGGACGGGGAGGAGGAGGAGGAGGAAGGGAGCGAACTGTGGTTGTTCTACCCTGGGAGATATCGAACATGGTTAGAGGACGCGAAGGGGAAGCTGAAGATAATGACCGACTTTCTGAACCAGGGAGGCAAGTTTGTGTCAGGTGAGTGTTGTCATGTTTGCGCGGCGTTGTCGGGCTGACAAGTTTCAACCAAGATGATGCTGGCTCGCAAGATTTCCACGATTGGCCGATCTTTGTGATGAATTTACCTCATCGCCATGACAGGAGAAGGTTCATGTGCCTTCTTCTCGCTGGTGTTCTCTCGATCCTGACGTCATGACATGTTTGTTCCCGACAGTCACATGGAGTCCCTGCTGAGATCAGCCGGTTTCAGCAACTTCTTCATGTTCAGCAACACCCCGGCTCAAGACATTGACATCTCGCAGCTGCTGCGAGAGAGAAAGATCACAAAGGAAACGATTGACGACATCAGCAGCAAGTTTGGAGGAGGAGCAGTGAGAGCCTACATCGCCAACACCCTGGATCAGGTGGAGGGAGAGTGCGGATGGAGCAAGGGCCGAGCTCACCTTGTCGCCCTCCAGCTGTCTGTCATCGAGCGAGCAAGGAAGGAGATGTTCCCATTCGTGATCATCCTAGAGGACGACCTCCTCCCTCTCGAAATGCCAGGTCCGCTCTCCCTCCCTTGTATCCCCCGCTCCTCTCGCCCCTCACTCTTCCCCCCCCTTGCTCACCGCTCACCGCCCTCCCTCTCCTTTCTGTTCTGTTTCCTCGTTCCTCCCTCTCCCTCCCTCAGTCCTCTTCCCTTGTTGCCCAGCCTCTTGCAATGCTGAGAGGAAGTGACAGAGAAGATTCGAGATCGCATACAACGCGCGGTAAGACTCGAAAAAGAGCAGGAGGGAAAGACGAGGAGGAGTAGGGTAGAGTCAGTGTACAGGAGGATGGAGGGAGCATACCAGGACAGGACAGGACGAGACAGGACAGGACAGGACAGGACAGGACATGACAGGACCGTGACAGGACGGGACGGGACGGGACAGGACAGGAGAAGACAAGGCAGGACAGGATGGAAAGAGAGGAGAGAGGGACGGGAAGGGAAGGGACAAAGGAGTGACGTCTGGTCAAGGTGAAAGATTTACCTTCCTCAGCCCATCTGCTCTATTTGGAGTTTTGCTCTGAGAGTTGTGAACTGCTCCGCTACTCTTCCTCTTCCTCTTCCATCGCTATGGTAGCTCTTCTCTCCTTCCCCAGACCTTTCCTCGTCTACTCCCTTCTTCCTCCCCTCCCCTCCCCTCCCTTCCCTTCCTCTCCTCTCCCGTCCTGTCCCGTCCTGTCCCCTCTCCTGCTCTCCCCTCCTCCATCGCGTTTTTGTCACTTCTTCGCAGGCCATCAAGCCCTCTTGTTCAGCTGCCATTCTCTACACGCGCAAGGGCATCCAAAGGATGTCACAGATAGCGTGGCCCATCCTCTCGGTGTGCCTCTCAGTCCTTCCCCTCCTCCCTCCTTCCCCTTCCCTCCTCCCCCCTCCCTCCTCCCCCCTCCCTCCTCCCTCCTCCCTCTCCCTCCTCCCTCTCTTCCCTGACTTCTCGACCTTGTCTGCAGGGCATCGATGTGATGCTACCTCGGCTCGTGTCGGAGGGTCGTCTGGAGGCGTACCTCGCCACTCCTCCTCTCTTCCTGCAGGATCGCTTCTTCGGCTCTGACGCCAACAGGAGTCTCGCTGCCGATATGGACGCTCTAAAGTTCGGGGCTGCGGCCGGACATCGAGTGTGCTACACCTGCTGCTCGGGGAAAGACATGTGACGAGCATGATGGGAAAACCTCACTGAAGACTGCTCAGTGAAGTAGCCTCAGGGATAGTACTGAATCATTGAATCCCGTCACCGGTCCGAGGAACCTGTCAGTCATACAGTAGTACTACCGCAGAGACTCGGAGCAGGGAACAGGCAGTAGCGGCCTGCCTTCGGAGTCCGCCGGGGTGAGTCCACCCGGAGTCAGTGTGGATCATACTATGACATGTGACGGCGGGCCCGGCCCGGCCGGGGCCGGTGCGATGCGGACAAACGAGTCTGCCTCAGGATGAGCCTGAGGATCTGTTTTAGTTAACTCGGCCTCCGATCCAGTACCACCCTCCCAGAGGGGTAAAAGAATCGAGTTAGTACCGGTACATCAAATATTTTGGGCTGATATACCCCCACAAACTTCAATATCACCCCTCTTTTTCATTATTTTTGTTCTTGTCCGTACCCGGTTCAATTACCACCTCTACCCAACAGATTGCTTGTGTGTATCATTCACCCCTAGTACAAGTACCCCTACCCCCTAGGACCGCGTCGCCCTCCCCTTCCCCCCCCTTTCCCTCCCTGTGTATCTGTCCTCGTGTTGCATCTCCTACAACCTCTCCGCCGCTCTCCCCCCTCCCGCCTCGCCCCTCCCGTCTCTCTCTTCCCCCTTCTCTCTGACTCCTCCTCCCTCAGTCCTCCGCCTCCTCTCCCTCGTCCTTTCTTGTTCCGTGTCTTTGTCCTCTTGTGAAAGTGTAGGTTGTCCCCTCCAGTCCCGCAAGACTTTGTCGAATCTTGAATCTCAACCCTCGTTCACTTGCTCCTCTTCCATCCTGTCCCATCTTATTTCCTACACATCACTATCTGCTCCTCATTGTTGTTTCTAATCACACCATCCCAGTCTTTGCACCGAATCCTTCCCTTGACCCACTTCATGGCTGATCCTCCTATCTACTGTCAAATGGCTGATCCTAATATCTACTGTCAATCTTCTGATCTTCTTCTTCAGAATTTCCTGTTCTCTTGAGTTTTCTCCGACTCGCATCCTGAAGTCAACAAGAGGAGACGATGCAGGCATTGTCGCTGATCGGTCGCAATGCACGGAGTGTCATGGCACTGCGATCGAGGAGGATAGCAGCAGCTAGATGGTTTCTGCTGCGAATCACGACGGTAGCAGCGGTGCTGCAGCAGGTGGAGGGTCTGACATGCTGTGACAGGTCAGAACAAGCAGATCGAGGATGCGATGAGAACGATTCTGAGTGAGTTGGGAGAGGACCCGTCGAGAGAGGGTCTTCTTAAAACTCCGAGCAGGTCGTTACCTATCTCTGCTGTCCGCGTCTCATTCCCCTTCATCCTCTTCTCCTCCCTCCTCCCTCCTCCCTCCTCCCTCCTCACTCCTCACTCCTCACTCCTCACTCCTCACTCCTTTACTCCTCCTCCTCCTCCTCCTCCTCCTCTGCCTCCTCCTCCCCCCTCCTGCCTCCTCCTCACCGTCCAACTGTTGCTCGCCCTGACACCTGCCCATCAGATACGCGAAGGCGATGCGTTTCTTCACTCAGGGGTACCAACAGGACCTCGACACGGTGCTGAACAAGGCAATCTTCACGGAAGACTCCGATGAGATGGTCATGCTGAGGAATATAGAGCTCTTCAGCATGTGCGAGCACCATCTCGTTCCCTTCCATGGCCGCGCGCATATCGCCTACCTCCCTCGAGGAAAAGTCGTCGGGCTGTCGAAGCTCGTCAGGGTGACTGAGTTGTACAGTCGAAGATTGCAGGTCGGCAACGCTGATGAGGAAGATGATGATGATGATGATGATGATGATGATAAGATGATGATGAAGAGGAGGAGGAGAGGAGGAGAGGAGGAGGAGGAGGAGAGGTGATGTTGGTGGAAGAGGGGCTGGTGGTGATGATGCGTTGGAGAAGCTGCAAATTAAAGAAGCTGTATTGCACTTCAAGAAAATGATTTTTCGTGCAGGTCCAAGAGAGGTTAACAAAGCAGATTGCCACAGCATTGCAAGAAAAGTTGGAGGTAACAATCAAACGATGAGATGATGATGATGATGAAAAGAAACGATGATGAAGATGAGATAGAGTACGTAGGATGGGAGATGGAGTGTTTGATTTTCATTGTTTTAGCCTCATGGTGTTGGAGTTGTCATCGAATGCGTTCACCTCTGTATGGCTATGAGAGGTGTTCAGAAACCTCACAGGTAAAAGTTCTTCTCTTCTCCTCTTGCTCCTCGTCCTCTTTATCATCCTCTTGTTCCTTGTCATCCTTCCCCTACTCACTAGTATCCTCCTGCTCTTTCTCCTTCGTTTTCCTCTCCCTCCCTCTCGACTCTGCTGCTACCCCTGCTCCTGGCATCTCCTTGTCCCTGCTCCGTCCTCCTCATCCTAGTCCCCCTCCACCAACACCCCAACCTCCCCCTCCTCTCCTCCTCCTCCCTCGATACCTCTTGCTCGTCATCGCACCCCCGAGTCCTACCTCTCTCTGTCTTCGACCTGGTGACAAGAAACTTTCCCAGCACGACCGTTACTTCGTGCATGCTGGGAGACTTTAGGACGGACGCGCGAACTCGCAACGAATTCCTCCACCTCGTCCGGTCGGCCCCGTTCACGCACATGACAGGTAAGAGGAAGGGGGGAGAGAAAGCCGTCCTGTTGTGTTGAAATCTTCCACCTTGGTGTTGAAATCTTCCACCTTGATGTTGAAATCTTCCAGCTCGATGTTGAAATCTTCCACCTTGATGCTGTTTTCATACCTTGATTCATTATTCTCTCCAATTTTCCTTCACGTTTCAACTTTCGATTTCATTTCTCTCAAATCTCATCTATTTCTCATGTTGATTCTTGATTTATTTTCTTGATTCATTTCTTTGTTTTCAAAGGGATGGGAGTCTCAGAACAAATCTCTCAAACACAATCAGCGTAAGGACACAGCTACTGTCGTTGATCGATGACATGCCGAGTAGGAGGATCTTTGAATCTGACGGAGTTCACGTGGAGAGAACACAAAAGGTTGAGGAGGAGGAGGAGGAGGAGGAGGAGGAGAAGTCGTGGTGGAGAAAGGAGATAAGCTGATGTTGTTGTGGTAGGCGACGGAATTCTATGACACGCTGCTCGGAGGGCACTCGCCAAATAGTCTGAGTGAGTGAACGATGTCGACTACGATGAAGATGTTGTTGTGTGAAGATTTGTGGTTGATGTCGTTGTTTGAGGACGAGGTTGAAGAGGAGCAAAGGGAGAGGCAGGCGTTCTAGAGCAAGCGAGGGTGATAAATGAGGAAGCAGGAGAAGAAGGACGAGAAGGACGAGAAGGACGAGAAGGACGAGGAGGACCAGAATGGAAATTTGCAGATATGTCGTGCTTATAACGACTGTGATTGAGTTGATGAAGATTATAGAGAACCAGCGATCAATGTTGTTGTTAGCCATGATAGATCGACCGATAGATGTTGTGAGTAGCGGCGGCAAGTGAAAGGTAGAGGATGAAATGGGATAACTTTCGTTTCCTTCAGGGCCAGCCTCTGGCAACCACAGGTAACCAACCCCAATATGAAATCACTTTCATTCAGCTCCCTCCGTTCTCTCTGTCCTGCCCCCTTTTTCTCGTTCACACTCGCTGAGCATGTCAAAGTTCTCAACATGTCAGAGTTCGTCATCTTGCCCTCAGGTCCATGGGAAACGCTTTGATAATGGGAGCAGGAGATTATGAGAAAGACAAGTGCGTTCTCATACCCCACTCCAACTCCTCCTTCTCCACATCATCATCATCATCATCATCATCATCATCATCATCATCTCCATCATCATCATCATCATCATCATCATCATCATCATCCCCACTCCTCTCACTCCTCTCCTGCTTTCCCTTCTCCTCCTCCTTTCTACGTCCAGATCGTATTTGTGCCATCCCAAAACTGAAATTTGAGTACAAGCAGCGAAAGCACAAGCAGCAGCAGCGGGGAGGACTCGGGCTCAGCATCGACTGCAAAAGGAAGGTCAGAGATGATGTTGTGGGAACGATGAGGAGAGGATAGGGGAATAGCTTCGATGCTCCAAGATTTCCCCTCGATCTGATCTTTGAGTCCTTGCTTTTCATTGTTCACTTTCCTTCTAACCCTGTCTCCCCTCCTTTCTTTATCCTTGTCCTCCTCTCACTTCCTTCCTCCTTCATTCCTCGTTATCAATTTCATTGACTTCCTATCTTTCAGTCCGCAGCGATCTCAACATTTCAGCACCATTGAGATTGGGAAGGATGATATGATGTTCAACGCCGCGCACTTCACGTGATGAAGAACATCATGAAGAAAACGACTTACAAGTTGTCAAGGGTGTTTTCCGCTCAAGAGCGTGAAAGTCTTCATGGACATACACATGTAAGTAATGATGCAAAAGATGATGTAATTAGTGGAGGATCCTGAGGAGTGATGATGACGATGAGAATGATGATGTTGGTGAGTAGTAGAAAGATGATGTTGAAGAGAAGAAGAAAGAAGTTGTTGATGAGGAAAGGAGGGTGAAGAGATGTCAGTGATGATGTAGAACGAGTTGATGATGAAGACAATGACAAGCTTTCAATCTCACTCACATGTCAGGCGGTGAGAGTTGCTTTCACTGGACCTGTCGGAGAAGATGGGATGGTTGAGAACTATCAAGGTAAACGCATCGGCCCCAAAAACTGTGAACCTATCTCCTCCTCTCCTTTGACCTCAACGTCTCCTTCTTCATCTCCTCTCCCCTCCTTTTCCCTCCTCTCGTCTGCTGTCGTCTCCTGTCCACTCCCCTCCTGTCCGCTCCCCTCCCCTCCCCTCCCCTCCCCTCCTCTCCTCTCCTCTCCTCTCCTCTCCTCTCCTCTCCTCTCCTCTCCTCTCCTTTTCTCTCCTCTACTCTTCTAACTTTCTCTGCTGCAGTCTTCAAGAAGCGTGTCCGCGAGCTCTGCGACAAGTGGGATGAGACTTATCTCGTCCCCGGGCACTGTCGACATGTATTCTCAAACATGACGTTCGCGCATGACTGACTTGCTTCCTTGCAGCTGAACATCAGGGAAGAGGGCGAACGAGTTGTCATCGAGCACAATGGCGTCGCACAGGCAAGACAGTCGACATGCCCTGCTGCTGCTCACTTGCTACACAGGACCTTCCCAAGAATGATTGCAGAATAATCCCGGTCTAATTCCCTTGTCACTGCATCGCTCGTTCACCATAGTCGTTGTCTTTACCCATTCCTTCCCTCTTCCCATTCTTCTCTTCTTGTCATTACTCGTCTTTTTCATCATTTGATCTATTCTTCTTCTCTCCTTCATCTCTCCTTCACCTCGTTATCTCTTCTTGTTCCCTTCATCTTCATAACTTGCTGTTCAGGTTCGCAACGTCACCTTGGAAGAACTGTCAATGCTCTTCCTCCGCCTTGTAGTGGTATCTCTCCGTCCTTCCTCCTCGCTTCCTTTCCCCTCCTCGTCCTCCATTCCCCTCCTCCTCCCTTTTCCATCCTCTCTCCCACCTTCCTGGCTCTTCTTCCTATCCCACTCATCCCTCCTCCTTCCCTCTTCCCTCCTTTCTCCCTCCCCATCCTCCTCCTCTTCCTCTACCGCCCTGCCCTCCATCAATCCTGACTTTACGAGCAGGGAGAGTCTGAAGTCAGCAAGAGCAGCTGGGCGGACGAGAAGAACGTAAGGAGCTGATTGAGTTACTTTCGTCTACTTAATTTCCCTCTCCAGATCGTTGCAGTCTCCGTCAAGATCTCTTCTGACGGCGGGAGGTAACACCATCCTTTTCATTCCCCTCCTCCATCGTCACTGCCTTGCTGCTCGCTTCCTCCCACACCACCACCACCACCACCACCACCACCACCTCCTCCTCCTCCTCCTCCTCCTCCTCGTCATCATCATCATCATCGTAGTCATCATCATCGTAACCGTCATCATCATCCGCTGCTGCTTCTGCCTTCCTTCTGCTGCTGCTCTAGCTGCTCTAGCTCCAGCTCTCCTTCACAGCTCTCCTTCATGCTCCTTCCTCCTCCTCCTCCTCCTCATCTCCCCAACTGGTTAACTCACATCCTGCTCAGAGGTCAGTGGGCGACAACCTCTTGGAGCAAGCAGCAAGGCTTCGGCGTCCCCTTGTCACTATTCTAAGTTGAAAGGAATCAAGAAGAAACAACAACAGACAGATATCCACTGATCGAGGAGGAGCCGGGGAGAAGCGAGGAAGGAATTGGAGGTAGAGAGAAAAGGAGAGGAGGACGGAGGGAGGACAGTAGACAGGAGGAGGTGGTGGTGGTAGAATTGAGGGAAAGGGCGGGAGAGGGAGGGAAGGAGGGGAAGAGAGACAGGAGATGGTGGTAGGAGGAGGGGGAGGAGGGGAAGGAGGGGGAACACTTGGAGGAGATGGCGGTGATAAAAGGGAGGGAAAGAGGGGAA